TCAGCGTTGCGTTGTTCATCAAATTACCATTTAAATGTGAATAGCGATCCATTTAATCCATTTTTCCTTCATCAGTAGTTTCCTCAGTCATGGTCTTGGTCAGGTGACCCGTGCCAGTGATTTCAGCAGTAACAAACAGCGTTTAAGGCTCGGCCTTTGAATGGAGCATCTTTCCAGCCAGAATCAGAAGAGTGATTAAGAGGCAGGATGAAAAGGTCCCCTAGAGTGGGGCACTTGGCCCTAATCCTATTGGCTGTAGTTAGAGCTGGGCTCAAGGATAAGTGTCCCTCCCACTGCTGCACAACGGATGTAAAGTATGTACACGGTAAAGTATGCAGGTCTGCGGGGGATTGTGGGAAAGAGGACCCAGATCAACACGCCATTAAGCAAGCCCTATACATAATAATATTATAAATTATAATAATTTATATATAGTGTGTATATACACACACACACACACACACAGTATATGGAGAAAATGATGAGGACATCTGGTCATTACACCTACAGGAACTTCCCATTCTAAATCCATAGACATCAATATAGACCTGGTCCCCCCTTTGCAGCTATAACAGCTGCCACTCTTCTATGAAGGCTATCTACCAGATTTTGGGCAGTGTCTGTGGGAATTTTTGCACATTCAGCCAGAAGAGTATTTGTGAAATCAGGCACTGATGTTGGACATGAATGCCTGACTCGCAATCTCTGTTGTAGTTCATCCCAAAGGTGTTTGATGGGGTTGAGGTCAGGGTTCTGTGTTGGCCAGTCAAGTTCTTCCGCACCAAACTAACCTAACTATGTCTTTACCTTGCTTTGTGTACAGGGGCACAGTCTTGTTGGCACAGAAAAGTGCCTTCCCCAGACTGTTCCCAAAGTTTGAAGCATAGAATTGTCTAAAATGTCTTGGTATGCTGAAGCATTAAGAGTTCCCTTTACTGGAACTAAGGGTCCTACCCCAATCTCTGAAAATCTTATAGCATCATCCCTCCTTTACCAAACTATACAGCTGGCACAATGCTGTCAGGCAGGTAACATCCTCCTAGCAATAATCATCCACATCAGTCAGAAATAACTGAAGCATGTGTCACCCAGTCTGTCCAAACCTGAAACTTAACAGGAAACATTTACAGAAAGTAGCTGTGTGAGTGTGTGCCTGGGCAAGTATGTCCAGCAGGGGCACTATGTACCTGTTCAGGTAGCATATGGGTTCCCATGACAACCCCAGTCCACCAGTAGAGCATGTCATGATGCCAAGTGAGAGGGGGAAGGTGGGGCTCCCGATCTGTAAACTCAGAGCCCCCTTTTGATAGGTTGGAGGTAGGTAACACCCAGCCCACTCGGCAAACTTTAACATCAGCACCCCCCCCCCACCCCAGCAAATTTAATCTGCCCCTGGCAAAGGGCCGTGAGGGACCGGCACCAAGTATTGGTATCGGGATAGAAACATTTCATTTGCATCAGATTGTATCGGGGACTTACGTCTGTTTTAAGCTGAAAGCCTGCATTTAAACCCACTCTGAGAAGGCTAGGTCTGCAGTGTAAATGACCTGGGTAATATACTCTATGCAGAACTGAGCTATGATCCACAGCATGGGAAATTTGTAAGTAAAGTCAGCAAACCCACTTTGCAGTATAACGCTCAGGACCATTAATGTTAATGAAGAGGAAGAGAGATCAAAGAGAAGGAAAGCTAGACACCAGGCTACCAGGCTCAGGACAATGATGTACAGGGAAATAATCAAACATGCATTAAGTAACATCATTTAACATAGCACAAGGCAAACAGACACACACATACACAATAAATTTACCATGTGAATTATCCTAATAACCGTGGGAAAATTATTTTTCTATTTTCTTGCTGCCATCTCCTGGCCGAATGTAAGTATTGCAATTACCAGAAAAGATCATTTAAATTTTTTTAAATGACAGTACTCGATTTTGGCCTACCAGACGGCAGCATGAAACGTGGAAAAAAATATTTCCCCACGGTCAAATCAAATAATTTTTAAACAAAGACATATTTTCACGATGTACAATGAACTAATAAAACATACATTTAATTATTCTAATATATTTGTTTTACATGGTACAAGTCTGTTTTTATTTACCATATAAAACCATTATACTGTGAGAAAGTATGTTTCTATTTTCTTGCTGTCATCTCGTGGTCAAGCTAAAGTTTTGCAATGAGGGAAAAAATAATTAAAATGTTTTGAAATGAAAAATTCATACAAATTCATAAGATGACAGGCAGACTACAGTCACTCAGTGTCTCCACCCTCCGTTACTGCTTTTCCGCTACAGGGTGTCGGGGAGCCTGTAACTGGGAACTGTGTATGTTTGCACTGAAACTGGGCACTGTGTGTGTGTATGTATGTGCGCTGTAACAGGGCACTGTAACAAACACTGGTTTGTTACCAGATGTCTGCAATTATACTCCTGTCCTCTAAGGGTCAGTATAATTTCCTAGAGGACTATAAGGAGCAAGAGCCTATATAAGGGCAAGGGCGGCCATGTTTGTTGAGACGCAGAATAAAGTAAGTAAGTCCTTGTTTGAGGAAGGGGAAGTGTTCATGGCTCAATGTAAGATGTTTTTCTGAATGATATGGATATATTGTTTGTTTAATTTAGTAACAATTATTTTTAATGATATACATGTGTATTTGTTGGGCTTAGCAAAAAGTGGGATGTATCATTTTTTTTATTTTCAGAAAGGACTTTTTTTTTCCCCTGATTTACTTGCAACTGCCAACCTTCTCTTTCCGGCTTCACATCCTACCATTGTTTGGACCATCCTCACCTGGAAGAGGACGTTTGGTCTCCACTTTGGACTGTGCTATTCATTTCAGTTGTATGGTTATCCATCTCAACACCAGTTTTCTTGAGTTATTGTTAATTCATTATTTACATGTACATTTGCTGGGGTAATATGCTCACCTTTGTTAGTAAATATTTTTTGGTCTGTGAACTGATGGTGTATTTCTCTTTACGCCACCCTGAAATGTCCCTCCCTACATATAGTGTGTAATAGGTTGGTTCTGAGGCAGGAATCAGCAGTGTTACATAAGTGGTGCCTGAACAGGGACCAGGGTTTAACAATTCATTGTATCTTGCATTAGTAGTGGTGTTGCCATGACTAGCAGCAGCCCTCAAGTAGAACATAAGAAAGAACATAAGAAATTTACAAACGAGAGGAGGCCATTCAGCCCATCAAGCTCGTTTGGGGAGAACTTAACTAATAGCTCAGAGTTGTTAAAATCTTATCTAGCTCTGATTTAAAGGAACCCAGGCTTTTAGTTTCCGCTACACTAGCAGGAAGACTATTCCTTACTCTAACTACACGCTGTGTAAAGAAGTGCTTCCTCAAATTTGTTTTTAAATGTTCTCCCGCTAATTTCCACTTATGGCCACGGGTTTTAGTATTTAAACTAATATTGAAGTAGCCATTTGGCTGAACAGCATCCAGACCCGTTAAAATCTTATAGACCTGGATCATGTCCCCCTTTAGTCTCCTTTGCTCAAGGCTAAACAGATTCAGCTCAGTTAACCTCTGTTCATAAGACATTCCTCTAAGACCAGGAATCATTCTCGTAGCCCTCCGTTGCACCTTTAAGGCAGCAATGTCCTCCTTAAGGTACAGTAGTATGTAAAAGTTTGGGCAGCCC